CAAGTGATCGTTTGTTTGGTTTGACTGCTGTCCTTGTGTTTTGTTGTTGCTTCAGCTGGGGGCAAAATAAACCGAAGTAAAACCAAAAAAAGAAACAATCCCTGGAGGAGTCTCCCCAAAAACCTCCCCATGGGATTGGTTAAAACCTCCCCAGGGATTGTTTTTCGTGATCTCTGGTTGTCCTTGTGTTTGTTGTTTGTGGTTTTCAACTGGGATGGTAAACAAAAAAACCCAAGGATAACAAACAAACAAACAAACAAAAACTGGAGGACTCTCCTAAAAACCTCCACGGGGATTGTAGATTGTGGTGTTTGTTGGTTGTCCTTCGGTTTGTGTACTTGTTCAGCTGGGAACCCAAAAAAAATAAGAAAAACAAAAAAAAAAAGACTAAACTGAAACTACCCAAAAAAAAACACAAAAACGCATGGAGGATTCTCGCCAAAAACCTCACAGGGGATTGGTTGTGTTGTTGCTATGTTGCTGTTTTCCTTGGGACTTTCAGTTTTTTTCCGGCCGGGAACCCAAATCACATTGTATGGTTTGAGGGTTCTGCAGCTGGGAACCAAGAAAAACAGTTTGGCTCCTACTATTACTACTACTACCTCGACGATTCCTTAAAACAAATCCCTTACATAGGATTCCGTCTTAAGGATTCCTTGGTTAAGTCTTGCGAGGGTTCCTTAGTTTAAGATTCCTCATGAAGGATTCCGAGTCTGAGACGCTTTGTTATATAGTTCTCAGCTAAGGGTCCCTACCATGGATTGCTCGGCAAATATTCCTTGCTATGGAACATTCGAATAGATCCCATCGTGAGAATTCCTGGGCACAGATTCCCTGTTACAGGTTCCTTCGCTAAGATTCCGCATGTGATTCGTGTGTGAAGATTCCTCGTCAAGGATCTCGCATTAACGGTCCCATAATACGGGTTCCATAGTAAGCATTCCGTAATGAGGAGTCCTCCTCCTCCCCATCATCATCATCGTCATCGTCATCGTCATCGTCAGCATCATCATCGCCATCGTCATCGCCATCCTCGTCAAGATCGCACTCGTGTTATCTAGCTCCTATTCCTCCTCACTCATATTATGGAATGATTTCTTCTCCTCCTCCCCCTCCTCCTCCTCAGGTGGGAACCGAAAAACATCGTGGTTGCTTGGTTCTTCAGCTGGGAACAAAGAAAACCTAAGGAAAACAAGACTGTAGGAACCCCCCACAAAAAAAACGCCCAAGTGATCGTTTGTTTGGTTTGACTGCTGTCCTTGTGTTTTGTTGTTGCTTCAGCTGGGGGCAAAATAAACCGAAGTAAAACCAAAAAAAGAAACAATCCCTGGAGGAGTCTCCCCAAAAACCTCCCCATGGGATTGGTTAAAACCTCCCCAGGGATTGTTTTTCGTGATCTCTGGTTGTCCTTGTGTTTGTTGTTTGTGGTTTTCAACTGGGATGGTAAACAAAAAAACCCAAGGATAACAAACAAACAAACAAACAAAAACTGGAGGACTCTCCTAAAAACCTCCACGGGGATTGTAGATTGTGGTGTTTGTTGGTTGTCCTTCGGTTTGTGTACTTGTTCAGCTGGGAACCCAAAAAAAATAAGAAAAACAAAAAAAAAAAGACTAAACTGAAACTACCCAAAAAAAAACACAAAAACGCATGGAGGATTCTCGCCAAAAACCTCACAGGGGATTGGTTGTGTTGTTGCTATGTTGCTGTTTTCCTTGGGACTTTCAGTTTTTTTCCGGCCGGGAACCCAAATCACATTGTATGGTTTGAGGGTTCTGCAGCTGGGAACCAAGAAAAACAGTTTGGCTCGGTGGTTCTTTCAGTTCGGAATCAACAACACTTTGTGCTTGTTGGTGGTTCCCCTCGACCCCCCCCCCACAACAAACAAACAAAAAAAACAGCAAACAAAAATGTAAGAATCTCCCCAGACACCGCCCCAGATATTGTTTTTTGTTTTGCGGTGCGTTCCTTATGTTCTTGCTCATTTCAACAGAAAACCAAAACTCAGGAAAACGACAAAAACCAACAAAAACAAAAAACACGCCCCCCCCCCCCAAAAAAACAAAACTCGTTGACTCTCCAAAAAAAACTCCCCAGGGATTGGTTTGTTACTGTGTTCTGTGGGAAAACTGGCCTTGTTGGAAAACAAATGTAGAACTCTCCCCAAAAACCTCCCCTGGTGATTGGTTGTGGTTTGTTTTTGCTTGGTTGTTCGTCGTTTTGTTGGTTGTTTCAGCTCGGGCCACGAAAACTTAAGTAAAAGCAAGCAACGCCCTTGAAAATCTCTCTGAGGGCTGTCCTACTGCTGGGCACGTACAAAAGCGGCCACAAACCTTCCCAGTGAGTATGTTCCTGGTGTTGTCCGATTGGGGTCGAAAGACCGCTCGTCCCCCTTCAAAAAAAACAATGGCACCAAGGGTTCCTTTTCGCATTATCACTACTGCGACTACTACTACTGCGACTACTGCTACTACTACGGGTACTACCACTACTACTACTACTACTACTACTACTATACTACTACTACTACTACTACTACTACTACTACTACTACTACTACTACTACTACTTACTACTACTACTACTACTACTGCTACTGCTTACTACTGCTGCTACTACTACCACTACTACTACCACTACCACTACTACTACTACTACTACTACTACTGCTACTACTACTACTACTACTACTACTACTACTACTACTACTTCTACTCTACTACTACTACTACTACTACTAATACTACTACTACGACTACTACTACTACTACTACTACTACTACTACTACTACTACTACTACTACTACTACTACTAATACTATACTACTACTACTACGACTACTACTACTACTACTACTACTACTACTACTACTACTACTACTACTGCTGCTACTGCTACTACTGCTGCTACTACGACTACTACCATTACTAATGAAACGAATAACCATGTGAGTAGTGCTCGTATTATTCAGATTCGTTCTCTTATTAATATTATAATTCCTTACGCTCCGTTTAATGAGCACTCGTAGTATGTATTCCTTTCCGCATTGTGACTGTGAGTATTACTTTCCTTGTTCGCATCATTGTACTTCTGAATTATACTTCCTGTTAATAAGTTGAATATCCATCGTAATCTTATTGGTATTTTAATCATTGCACTTCTTCATATTTCCACCGTCAAAGCTTGCCTCTGTAGGGATCCTAGCGGATTCATATGGTTAAGTAAAACTTGGCGCCGATTTCGGCGGCACGCCAGGGTGACCAAATGCCCGGGTGCCCGGGTGCCTGGATGCCGGGTGCCGCGGGTGCCCAGGTGCCCGGGTGCCATGGTGCCCTGCAGGGTGCCCCGGTGCCCAAGTGTCCGGGTGCCCGGGTGCCCGGGTGCCCGGGTGCTCGGGTGCCTGGGTGTCCAGGTGCCTGGATGCCCAGGTGCCCGGTAGCCATATCGCTCTATAGCCCCATAGCCCTATAGCAATATAGCCTTTTAGCCCTATAGCCCTATAGCCCTATAGCCCTATAGCCCTATAGCCCTATAGCCCTATAGCCTTATAGCCCTGTAGCCATATAGCCCTATGGCCCTAATAGCCCTATAGCCCTGTAACCCAATAGCCCTGTAGCCCTAATAGCCCTATAGCCCTATAGCCCTATAGCCCTATAGCCCTATAGCCCTATAGCCCTGTAGCCCTGTAGCCCTATAGCCGTATAGCCCTATAGCCCTATAGCCCTATGGCCCTATAGCCCTATAGTCCTACAGCCTTATAGCCCTATAGCCCTAGTCCTATAGCACTGCAGCCCTATAGCCCTACAGCCCCATAGCCTTATAGCCGTACAGCCCCATAGCCTTATAGCCCCATAGTTCTATAGGCCTAAAACAATATGATTGTTTTTTTTTCTCCGGCAGCATAATAATAACAGTGTTGGTATTGCTCGCATTATGATTATCAATATTCCGATTGAGGATGTCTCTCTGCACAAGTACTGATAGTATGATTGATCGTACTAGTATTCCTCTCAGTGTTCTCATTATTGTGATTGCCAGTCTGATAATTCGCATTGATATTCGTATTATTCGTAGTCGTCTAATCATTAAGATATGTAGTATTCGTCGTGTCCCTCAGTACCGTGTATGTTTTGTTCTTACCTTGTTTGTAATAGTGGTATTAGTATAATTAGTATTCCTCCTCTTTCTCTTGTTTTTCATCCTCATCTACCTCTTCCTCTTCCTCCTCCTCCTCTTCCACATCCTCCTACTCCTCATCCTCCCCCTTCCTCTCCCACCCACCCCCCTCCCCCCCTCCTGGGGGAGGCAGGAGGGAAGCGCCAAAGAGCGCCGCGCTACGCTCGCGCTGCGCTCTCAGGCCCTGGGCGGTCCCCGTCGGCCCTGCTGGCCCGAGACACGCAGGAGCCCACATGGGACGCGCCAGGCGCGGCAACCTCCCTTGGGACGCACAAAGACATGCTAGTACTGTATGTTCTCCTTGGAGGCGCGCGTCCGACCCAAACATGTAGTATACCCATCTCGTAGTAGATCGTTTCCCGAGCGGCGTGGCCAGAAAGCGCCCGCCACGACGCATATACCAGAAGATATCTCGGTGCGCGCATCGCCCCTGGGGGGGGCGACGCACATATAGTACAAGTATGTTGGGGTGACGCCAATCCCTCCTGGATGAGAACGAAAGACTTTAAATGCAGACAAATGGGGCGTACTCATGGAACGACCAAAAGGGGTATCCTCGGCCGAAAGCGGCCGCTATTGGGCAGACGGCCTTTCGTCTCAAATGGACATCGTCTGCGGCGGCACCAACAGCGAGTCCTTTTCAAAATGAACAGGAACTTCTCCCAGTGCTTGTACGCAGTTCTTTCCGTATCCGTTTCGCTCGTGCCGATTCTCGGGGAGGGGGGAGGGGAAGGTGGAGGCAAAGGAGCTGTTCGACGAGAGGATCCACGAGGCCTACAGGCAGGACGCTCGGCGCGAGCGCGTGCTTTCTGCTCCTCTCCATGCCTGATGCGAGTCATGTCCTCGTCCCCCCTCCTGCATGCAAACCTCCCTCTCCCCCTCCTCCTCATCCTGCTCCCCCCTCATCCCTCCCCTTGTCCCCCCTCCTGCTCCTTCTCACGCTCGCCTGGGCTGCGGGTGGCCGACGTCGCCCCCCCCCACCCACCCACCCACCCACCCACCCACCCACCCACACACACACACACACACACACACACACACACTCCGGCAGAGCCCAGCGGACCTCCAGGAGGGCGCCAACTCTGCACGCCTGCTCGCATACCGAGCCCAGCCAGGTGCATTGAGGAGGGGGAGGGAGAGGGGCAGGGGGAGGGGGAGGAGGAGGAGGAGGAGGAGGAGGAGGAGGAGGAGGAGGAGGAGGAGGAGGAGGAGGAGGAGGAGGAGGAGGGGAGGTGGCGGGGGAGGAGGAGGAGGAGGAGGTAGGAGGAGGAGGAGGAGGAGGACCGCGGGGGAGGAGGAGGAGAGGAGGAGGAGGAGGAGGAGGAGGAGGAGGGGAGGAGGAGGAGGAGGAGGAGGAGGAGGAGGAGGAGGAGGGGAGGAGGAGGAGGAGGAGGAGGAGGGGGAGGGGGGGAGGGGGAGGGGGAGGCGGAGGAGGAGGAGGAAGAGGAGGAGCAGCAGCAGGAGGTAACCGACGTCGCCCCACATACACACACACACACACGGGAGAGCCCAGCGGACCTGCAGGAGGGCGCCAAGTCTTCACGCCTGCTCGCACACCGAGCCTGGCCAGGTCCATATGCCGAGGCCCGGGGTTTCGGTGCAGAGGCGCTGCGGGTGGCGCCCCCCGACGGTGAGCGCCTGCGGTCCGCGATCCGACGACCGACCTCGTGCTCCTCCAGCAGACGGATGATACCTTCGAACCCTTACGCACTCGAGGGGACTTCTGAATCCCCCCCCCGCCCCCGACAGCAAGGCTGGTCTCGGTAATGGTGGTGCTGTGGGGACCGAATAGTTCTGCCCACTCAAGGCCCCCCCCTCCTTCGCCACGCCATCCGTATCGATTTCGCGGGGTCGGGGGGGCATCTTTGGACGCCTCCTAGATGGGGTCCGAACAGAGGTTCGAAGGATTGCACTGAATCGGCGATGCATCGCCGACGTCGGCGACGCATCGGCGACGTCGGCGTGAAGAAAATCGGGTTCCGCATCGAGCCGCATCGTCGATGCATCGGCGATGCGGCGCGATCCTCCGACCCCATCTACTCCGACCCCATCTACTCCGAGGCAGAGAATCTTAGGCCGCAGGGTCCGAAAGCATAGTCCATGCACGCCCCCCCCCCTCGCCCTGCACCGCCAGGTCGCGCGGCGCCTTGAAAACGCTACAGGTGGCGGAAAAAGGGGGCCTCACCTCGCCTTGCCGCCGACCTCGTCGCGGCGGGGCGCCGAGGCCGGCCAGGCCGGGAGGAGGAGCACGAGGGCGAGCGGGAGCAGCGGGCAGGGAGGGAGGGAGCATGGAGGGGATGGAGCATGGAGGGAGAGGGGGAGGGACAGGAGGGAGGAACGGTTGATGGACAAAATCCTGAACCTTTCTGGAGGATGTTTGTCTTCGCCCCCCGCGCCCCCACCTTCATACTGGCAGGATGTGGCGCGATTTGTCGATCCGCCGACTGGCCTAAATCCTGCACACCGCGGGCGCAGCCAATCAACATTGAATCGGGGGCAGGGGGGCGCGTGGAAGTTTGCGCCGTTCGCCCCGGTTGCGCGGCTGGTGCAGGATTTTGTCCATCAACCGGAGCATGGAGGGAGGGAAAGTGGGGGGAAGACACGAGCGGGGAGAATACTCGCGTGCCTGGGTCTGGGCAGGTGATGGGGGCCTGTGCTCGTGATGCTCGGAGAGTGCTGAATCGCAGGATGCGAGCCTAAGTGCCAGGTGTGAGGCCAGGCGGTGTGATGTGGCATCTGTTGCATGAAGATGCCATGTCAACTGATGAACTGGCTCATCTCACCATTATCACTTGTCCTCTGGCATCTCTCTCCTGTCCTTTCATTCATCGGCCATGGAAAAACCACCGGCAGTTACGACAAGGTCAATAAACTTAGCATCGCGCCTTAGAAGATATTTGTCTACTGGCGTTCAGGCTCACGTGTTGTTCACTGGCTTAGGCCAGCGCTCAAGACCTAACAGAAGGCGAGCACACGTGTGGGTTGGTGAATGGCACCTGAGATAACAAAGAGATCAAGAGCACGGGGCGGGAGAAAAAGTGCATCGTCTTCGCATCGTTGCTGCTTGCTCTCTTCGTTTCTGACACTCTTCGAGATGAGGTGGTCTCTCGTCCTCCTCCTCCTCCTCCTCCCCCTCAGGAAGAGGCCGAAAAGAAGAGACAAAGGGAAGGAAATGTAGAAAAAGAGCAAGGAAAAGGCAGGGGGCAGGAAAACTAATATAACAACAAACAATATGGACTTGTGACCGAGGATTCCGCGGATGGCCCCATGTGACACAGAGCAAGAGTTCCAGCCTGCCTGCTGTACTTCCCCCTCCCATGCCCGTGGGCGTGGGGAAATCATCACGACGGACACCTCGACCAACTCTCGGCGACGCGGTGGGCAGTCGCCAGACCCAAGGGCCATCACGGAAAGATCTGCGAGGAAGAAGCGGCCATGGGGATGGGGTCGAGGTGCACGGTTTCCCATGGGGCCGTAGGCGATCCGAGGAGGAGGAGGAGGAGGAGGAGGAGGAAGAGGAGGAGGAGGAGGAGGGCCAACAGGAGGGCCAACAAGAGCCTGAAGGGGAGGGAGGAGGAGGAGGAGGAGGAGGAGGAGGCGGGGAGGAGGAGGAGGAGGAGGAGAAGGAGGAGGGGACGGTGGGGGAGGAGGAGGAGGAGGAGGTGGAGGAGGAGGAGGAGGAGGAGGAGGAGGATGGGAGGAGGAGGAGGAGGAGGAGGAGGAGGAGGAGGAGGAGGGAGGAGGAGGGAGGAGGAGGAGGAGGAGGAGGAGGAGGAGGAGGAGGAGGAGGAGGAGAAGAGGAGGAGGAGGAGGGAGGGAGGGAGGAGGGAGGAGGGAGGAGGAGAGGGAGGAGGAGGAGGAGGAGGAGGGAGGAGGAGGGACGGAGGGGGAGGAGGAGGAGGAGGAGGAGGGAGGAGGAGGAGGGAGGAGGCGGAGGAGGAGGAGGGAGGAGGAGGGGTGGGGAGGAGGAGGCGGAGGAGAGGAGAAGGAGTGGAGGAGGAGGGAGGGGAGGAGGAGGAGGAGGAGGGGAGGAAGGAGGAGGAGGTGGAGGGGGAGGGGAGGAGGAGGACGAGGAAGGGGGGGGAGCGGAGGAGAGGAGAGGAGGAGGAGGAGGAGGAGATGAGGGGAGGGAGGAGGAGGAGGAGGGGGGGGAGGAGGAGGAGGAGGAGGAGGAGGAGGAGGAGGAGGAGGAGGAGGAGGAGGGCCAACAGGAGGGCCAACAAGAGCCTGCGAGGGGACGTCTGTCACGCTCTCCAGAGGTATATATAGAGAGAGAGAGACACACAAACCAACCAACCAACCAACCAACCAACCAACCAACCAACCAACCAACCAACCAACCAACCAACCAACCAACAAACCAACAAACAAACAAACAAACAAACAAACAAACAAACAAACAAACAAAACACACACCTCCGAGACGCGCACAAGAATGCGTAAGAGCACCCTGATGAGACAGCCCAGTAGGGTCCCAGGAGGCTGGCGATAGCCTCCCAAGAATTCTGCAACGCTGCTCACGTTATGATGTGGATGATTCGCCGGCTCCTCCCGCTGCACTTCTGCCCGCTGTTCAGTCCCTGCTCTCGAACACTACAACACTACAGACCCAATCAGATCACGCAAAACACAATCATGATATACTGGATCGTACAATTCCTGAGGAGACCACCGCAGCTGAGCAGACCAGACAAGACCACTCACAAAAGGACCAAACGGGGGCCAAAACAAACCAGGACCGAGGAGAGGGAGACCCCATGTGCCATCTCCCCAATATTTGTCCCACCCACCCCCCGGTCCCCCGCTCCGTTCCAGTACCCCCACCTCATCTCACCCTTCATCCTCCTCCCCCCATTCCCGCGTCTCCCCGTCCACCCCCCTCCTCCCTTTTAGGACAGCTGGTAAGCTGGAGCACAAGCTGAAGGCAAGCTGGAAGGCAATCATCGTGCATGCACGCAAACAAAATAAAGGCAATAGACAAAGGCATACTGAAAGACGAGCTCAAGGCAGACGAGGGACCAGGAGATGAGCTGAAGAGCAACTTGAGAGCAAAGCAAGAACGCACGCTAGAAAACAAGCCAGAAGGTAGGCGTCGAGCACGCACGTAAAGCCACACTGCAAGCTAGGAAGCAAGCTCAAGGCTAAGCTAGGAGGCGAGCTTGAAGGCATGGAGAGGCAAGTCGAAGGCATGCGAGCAGGCAAACTGATGGCAGACAAGAAGGAAACCAACAGGACTGGCAAGAAGGCAAGCACGAAAACGAGCTCGAATGCTTCACGACAGCAGTACGTGAGAGGTCAGCGACCCACCGGGGCGACTGCATCCGATTGTCAAATCTGGCAGCGTGCATCAGAAGGTCGCATCCTGCAGCCCTTGTCACCCTGACACAGAAAACCGCCCAGAAGAGAAGCGGCGGAAGGGAAGAGGCGGAGCGAGCGGGCCTTCACCTTCTCCTGCACGGATTCTTCGTCGAACAGGCCAGGGCCATCGTTGATGTCGAAGAGACCTGCAGATACGACGGGCCCACAGCAGAGAGGGGCCATGGAGTCAACAGATGATCCCCATGCCCGGTAGCTACGACCTCGCCCACGCCAGCGCCTCCTTGTAAAAAACAAAGCGACAATACTAGCCGCGCTATGGAAACAGCTGCCTACGAAAGGATTGCTCAGGCCAAGCCTCAGGCCGATCCCGAAGAACCCTCCCTGCCGGCCCATCCAGTCAACCCTGGTTTGCACGAGTCTGTCCATGAAATGTACACGTCGGTCGGAAGAAGCAGGTAATTAGCCTGGCGAAGAAACCAACCATATGCAGTTGTGAATACCGCAATTGTGAATAACATTCTCGCCCGCGCTCCCTACGTGGCCGCGGCTTCCCGCCGAAGCCCGACATGCTCAGGGACACGTTCGTGGCCGTCGTCGCGGGCGCCGACCGGCGTCCCTCTGACCGAGGAGCAGAAGTAGGAGAGGGCTCTGAGAGACATGAGCGAGGATCCTCGGGAGGAGTGTGCCGAAATGGCCCGAGGCCGCCATGCGAACCTTGCTACTGGCGCCTTCGGTGGAGCTCCTGTGGGGCCACGATCCTCTCGTGAGGGGTGTGCCGAAATGGCCCGAGGCCGCCATGCGAACCCTGCCACTGGGGCATTCGGTAGAGTTCCCTATGGGGCCGCGATCCTCGTGAGAGGTGTGCCGAAATGACCCGAGGCCGCCATGCGAACCACTGGCGCCTTCGGTGGAGCTCCCTATGGGGCCGCGATCCTCGTGAGGGGTGTGCCGAAATGGCCCGAGGCCGCCATGCCAACCTTGCTACTGGCGCCTTCGGTGGAGCTCCTATGGGGCCACGATCCTCGTGAGGGGTGTGCCGAAATGACCCGAGGCCGCCATGCGAACCCTGCCACTGGGGCCTTCGGTGGAGCTCCCTATGGGGCCGCGATCCTCGTGAGAGGTGTGCCGAAATGACCCGAGGCCGCCATGCGAACCACTGGCGCCTTCGGTGGAGCTCCTATGGGGCCGCGATCCTCGTGAGGGGTGTGCCGAACTGGCCCGAGGCCGCCATGCGAACCTTGCTACTGGCGCCTTCGGTGGAGCTCCCTATGGGGCCACGATCCTCGTGAGGGGTGTGCCGAATGGCCGAGGCCGCCCCATGCGAACCCTGCCACTGGGGCCTTCGGTGGAGCTCCCTATGGGGCCGCGATCCTCGTGAGAGGTGTGCCGAAATGACCCGAGGCCGCCATGCGAACCACTGGCGCCTTCGGTGGAGCTCCTATGGGGCCGCGATCCCCGTGAGGGGTGTGCCGAAATGGCCCGAGGCCGCCATGCGAACCTTGCTACTGGCGCCTTCGGTGGAACTCCCTATGGGGCCACGATCCTCGTGAGGGGTGTGCCGAAATCCTCGTGAGGGGTGTGCCGGTGTGCCGAAATGGCCCCAGGCCGCCATGCGAACCCTGCCACTGGGGCCTTCGGTGGAGCTCCTATGGGGCCACGATCCTCTCGTGAAGGGTGTGCCAAAATAGCCCGAGGCCGCCATGCGAACCCTGCCACTGGGGCCTTCCGTGGAGCTCCCTATGGGGCCACGAAACGCTGTACTGGGTGGGTGAAACGCAGGGAGGAGGGGGAGGAGGGAGGAGGGGGAGGGGAACGAAGGAGGGAGGAGGAACGCGGGGACCGTCTCTTCAAAACGAGGACCCAACACCACAGGATGGTTGGGAAAAACAGGAAGAATGCAGGCGGATAAGTAGATTGGGGGGCCTCCCAGAGAATGACAAAATTCAGCCAAAGCCTATCGATTCTTGAACTATGAAGGGGCTTGAAGTAGATTGAGATATGAGAATCTAGAAATACCTACGTACTTTCAACGACCGACGTGCACCTCTGGCTGCTCGAGGCCAGGGGAGTGTGAAGTACCTCAGTGTTTCAGAGGGCTTCTACGAGCTTGCAACCTTCTATGAATCATTAGCCTTATATTACCTCTCTCTATGAATATATGCACTCCTTCCTTAAACTGTGCCGTTCTTCGTGCCGATGCGATACCAATCCATTGGCAACCAATGCCAATGCAATGCCAATTGGGAATTGTTTTCTTTCGGTGGATTTTAATAAGAAACCTTATGTAGAAGATGAATTCAAAATTTCAGTAGGAACCCTTCTGCGGAGAGAGCCATGAGGACTGGCCAGGGCAATGCCAGCGCAATGCTAAAGCAGTGCCAACGCAATGCCGAACCAATGCCAAGGCGACCCCAATCCAATGCCAGTGCCATGCCAATGGGGGCAATCCTTTGTGGTAGATTTCAACAAAAATCCTTCTGGGGTTTGCAATAGGAACCCTTCTGCGAAGGAAAGCATTGGAACTCGCCAGCGCGATGCCAGCGCAATGCCAAAGCAGTGCCAACGCAATGCCAGCGCAATGCCAGCGCAATGCCAATGCAATCTCTCAAATCCGATGCCAATGCAATGTCGTTGGGGGCAATCCTTTGCGGTATATTTCAAAAGGAATCCTTTTTGCGGAGGGGTGCAATCGGAATCCTTCTGCGAAGGGAGGCATGAGGACTCGCCAGCGCAATGCTACAGCAGTGCCAACGCATTGCCAAACCACTGCCAAGGCGGCCCCCATCCAATGCCAATGCTATGTCAATGGGGGCAATCCTTCGTGGTAGATTTCAAAAGGAATCCTCCTGGGGATTGCAATAGGAATCCTTCTGCGACAGGAGGTATTGCCAACGCAGTGCTAGCGCCACGCCAAAGCAGTGCCAACGCAATGCCAGCGAAATGCCAACTCGATCCCAAATCCGATGCCAATGCAGTGTCGTTAGGGGCAATCCTTTATGGTAGATTTCAAAAGGAGCCCTTTTTTGCGGAGGGTTTCAATTGGAATCCTTCTGCGAAGGGAGGCATGAGGACTCGCCAGCGCAATGTCAGCTCAATGCTCAAACAGTGCCAACGCAATGCCAAACCAATGCCACGGCGACCCGAATCCAATGTCAATGCAATGCCGTTGGGGGCCATCCTTTGTGGTAGATTTCAAAATGAGCCCCTTTTTTTGCGGAGGGTTGCACTAGGAATCCTTCTGCGAAGGAAAGCATTGGAACTCGCCAGCGCAATGTCAGCGCAATGCTAAAACAGTGCCAACGCAATGCCAAATCAATGCCAAGGCGACCCGAATCCGATGCCAATGCAATGTCGCTGCGGGGGCAATCCTTTGGTGGATTTCAATGAGAATCCTTCTCCTGAGGGTTGCAATAGGAATCCCTATGCGGAGGGAGGCACTAGGACTCGCCAGCGCAATGCCAGCGCAATGCCAGCGCACTTCCAACGCAATGCCAACACGGTGCTCACCTAATGCCAATTGGGGGCGTCCTCGCTTCGTGCATTTCAATGAGAAACCTTCTGGGATGATGCCATTGCGAACCCATGTTCGGAGGATTTCACTAGGAATCCTTATGTGAAGGGCTTCGAATGCAATCCGTCTGTGGAGGATTTCAATGTGAATCCGTATTGTGTGTGTGGGGGGGGGGAGGGTCACTAGGCGTCCTTATTTCTGGGGTGGGTTAATAATAACTTCCCTGAGGAGCGTCCGATTAGGATTCGCCAGCGCACTGCCAACGCAGTGCCAACGCAATGCAAAACCAATGCCATGTCGATCCCAATCCAATGCCAATGCTACGCCAATGGGGGCAATCCTTTGTGGTAGATTTCAATAGGAATCCTTTGTTTGTGTGGACGGTTTCAACTAAAAAATATTATGCGAAGGGGGTAATGAGTAAATAGGACTCGCCAGTGCAATGCCATAGCGCAATGCCAAAGCCATCCAAACCCAATGCGAAAGCAATGCCAGGTGGGGAGATCCTTTCTTATGGTAGATTTCAATAGGAATCATTCGGTGGAAGGCTTCGCATGGAATCCTTATGTGGAGGATGTCAATACGGACCCTTTTTTGTTTGTGGAGGGTTTCAATCGGACTCCTTCTTGTAGGGGGTTTCAATGGGAGTCCATGTGTGGAGGGTTGCATTGGGACTCGCCAGCGCAATGCTTGCGAAGTGCCAGCGCAATGCCAATGCACTGCAAAGCACAATTCCAGTGCGATGCCAAACCATTACCAAACCAATGCCAATGCAATGCCAACTGGAGGATTCTTTCTTTCGGAGCATCTCACTAGCAATCCTTCTGCTGGTGGTTCCAATAGGAACCAATGGGTGGAGGATTTCAATAGCAATCCTCATGTGGAGGATTTCACTATGAACCCTTATTGCGGGGGCTTTCAATCGGAATATTTCCAGTGATGAGGGCAGATGAGGCCACGTAGGATTTTTCTCCCCCCCCCCCCTTCCCCCCCCCCCAAAAAAAAAAGCGGTCTCGCGATGTGTGGGTTAATTCGGGGGGGCAGACGAAGGAACAAAAAAATGTGGGGGCCTCCCTCTCCTCCGACTCTGCCTCCTCCTCACTCCTCCTCCTCCTCCTCCTCCTCCCTCCTCCTCCTCCTCCTCCTCCTCCTCCTCCTCCTCCTCCTCCTCCTCCTCTCATCCTCCTCCTCCTCCTCCTCCTCCTCCTCCTCCTCCTCCTTCCTCCTCCTCCTCCTCTCCTCCTCCTCCTCCTCCTCCTCCTCCTCCTCCTCCTCCTCCTCCTCCTCCTCATCTCCTCCTCCTCCTCCTCCTCCTCCTCCTCCTCCTCCTCCTCCTCCTCCTCCTCCTCCTCCTCCACCTATTCCTCCTCCTCTTCCTCCTCCTCCTCCTCTTCCTGCTCCTCCTCCTCCTCATCATCATCACCATCACCATCACCGTCACCATCACCAGCATCAGCATCAGCCTCATCATCATCATCCTCCTCATCATCCTCCTCATCATCATCAGCACCGTCATCCTCAGAATCATCATCCTCAGCATCATCATCAACAGCACCAGCATCAGCATCAGCATCATCATCAGCATCAGAATCAGCATCAGCATGAGCATCAGCATCATCATCATCATCATCATCATCGTCATCATCATCATCAGCAGCATCAGCATCATCATCATCCTCATCATCATCGTCATCACCCCGCTCCTCCTCCTTCGCCCAGAATCGGGTTGTTGTTCTTCTCCTGCCCCCCCCCCCCCCCCCCCGAAAAAAAAAACAAATCAAAGCAAAAAAACATGTTTTAATAATATGTATATATAAACAACACAACAACAAAAAAAAAAAAAAAAAAAAAAAAAAAAAAAAACAAAAAAAAAAAAAAACGGGAGGCAGCGCAGAATTTGTTTGTATTTGTTCGTTGGGAAGGCAAGGGAAAAAACTCGATTCTGGGGGAAGGAAGATGAAGAGGAGAAAGAAGGATGAAGACGAGTAGGAGAAGAGGGAGAAAGAGGAAGAGGGGGAGGAGGAGGAGGAGGAGGAAGGCGAAGGCGAAGGCGAAGGCGAAGGCGCCGGAGTCGGGCACACTGGTGCGCCCGTGCCCTTTAGGGCATGGCGCAGGAGGCCGTGGCCTCACATCTCGTGCGAGTACAAGTCGCGGGCGAAATACTGCAGGAACCAGTACGCAAAGAAGGCAAGGAACAATATGCGTATGAACCGCAAGAAAAAGAAGTCGTGGTAGAAGATGTTCGTGGACCAGATCAGAATCGAATCGGTGCGGTCGGTGTCCTGGCTGCTGCTGTTGTGTTACTGTTGGTGTACAATGACTATGGCCAGGGGCTGCCTGGCCACGAAGAAACGAAGAATAGCTCGATGAGCTCGCCTGGAATGAGTACAACAGGGCCGCGCACGGTATATCTGACACCACAGGTCAGACGACCAAGAAACTCCAACCACCATGCCAAGAAAGAGGCAGATAAAAGGGCGAGCATCAAATGGCAGAGAACGACGCCGGGGCAAGCCGGCTGTGTGACACGAGTGTGCCATAACGCCAGTGGTAAAAGTGCCATTCAGAATGCAGCGGTACAAATGTAAGTGCTTCACCTCGGCACCCCTCGGGTCGCAAACGACGAAGAGGAAGGAGGAGAAGGCCATGAGGCAAAATAGCTCGATGAGCACGCCCATCATGAAACACAGCAGGGCCACATACGGTATCTCTGACACCACCAGTCAGACGACCAAGAACCTTCGACCACAATCCACAATATGAGTAGATGAAGTGACGAGCAGGAGGAGGAGGAAGAAGAGGAATAATGTTCGAAAACTCCACGAAAAACTATACGAAAACACTCTTCGAAAGAAGAGGTACTCCAAAATCCCCCGTTTTCGGCTGCTCCGACCTGGCCCCCGAGCCAGAGGAGAGGCCCCTCCTGAAGCCCAGCGAGGCGCCTCCACCGCCTCCGAAGCGTGGCCGCAACCGACTCGCAACCTTCCCGCCCGTCCCGTTCCACTGCGCTGGTTGTGTGGGCATCCGCCGACGAGCGCCACAGAGGACGTGGAGCACCGAAGAGGATCCCATCGTGTCGTGCGCAATCCGAGAAGTTTTCAGAGGAGCTTCACACACTGGAGGAGGAGGGGGAAGGGAGAGGGGAAAGGGAGGGAGAAAGGCCAGGGGGTGGGGTGAGGTAGGGAAAGAGGACAGGCAAGGGAGAACGGGAGCGGGAGCGGGAGCGGGAGCGGGAGCGGGAGCGGGAGCGGGAGCGGGAGCGGGAGCGGGGCGGGGGGCGAAGCGGGCGCGAGAGCGCATCGAGTGGCCTCAGTATGCTGAGCTCTGCGGGTTGGGTGAGGGCCGCAATGGCAGCCCTGAGCCTGGAGGCGGAGGAGGAGGAGGAAGAGGAGGAGGAGGACGACGACGACGCAGACGACGAGGGCGACGCAGACGAGGGGGAGGAGGAGGGACGGGGGGCAGGCGAGCGCGAGGCCGCGAAAAGGAGGCGAGGACGGCGGGCCCGGGGCCGCCGCCGAGGGCCGCCAAGGAGGTCGCCGAGAGCCCGGCCGACGAGGCCCGCCGAGGACACCCACAAACACCCCACGACAGCTCGGCACGCCGAGAGCACGCGGGCGCCCCGGCGGCCTGGCCCCTCGGCCACGGCGGCCGCCTGCACCTCGTCCTCCTGCGGCGGGCAGCGGGGTCGGGCTGCGCGAGGGGGGGCGGAGGGCTGCAGGGATGGGGGGGCCAGGGGGGGTTGTCCAGCGCTCGGAGGCGCGGCGTCTCGACGAGGAGGGGGGGGGGACAGGCCTCCTCGGGAGGCGGCGGGGGGCCTCGGAGAAACCCTCTGGCCTGGTGGAAAGAGCTTCGTGCCTCTGGAGAGGGCCCAGAGAGCTCGCCGAGTGGGGAGTCGAGCGGTCGGCGGCTCGCCGAAGGGGAGGGGGCAAAGGAGGGGACACCTGCGGTGGACAGACCTCCCTTTACTAAACCACCCTTTAGTGAAAACGGCCAAGGACCGAAACCGACGGACCTGGACCCGCAAAAATGACGGCTGCGACGCCCTCTCGCGAACCGAAAACGGCCAATTCGCCAATCGACGTGTCAGGATAGGGGGTCTATCAACCTCCAAGGACAAGCCTACTCAGAGGGCGGCGGGGATCATCGGAAAAACCCTCTGGCCTGCTGAGAAGAGCTTCGTGCCTCCGGAGAAGGCCCAGAGAGCTTGTAAGAAGGCCCCGAAGCCTTCTGAGTTGTTTGAGGAGCCCCGCCCACCGGGGAAACCACAGGTACCGATACTGCTACTCCCCGGACCTCTCCTGGGGTGCGTTCTGACCAGGACTTCGAGGCGAATCCGGCGGCAGCGACGACGGAGGCCCGGGAGGCCCAGGAAAGGGAAAACGAGGGGAGGGCAGGGGCATTGGTACCTTCTCCTCTTCTGGCCCACGCTGCCTTCCCCCCTGGGCGCACCACCGCCGAAGGGGGGGGGGGGCACGAAGGAGCGAGCGACCACCGCTGCGGACAGGCGCGTCGAGGATCTCGCGGAGGCCCAGGCTTCCAAGACTGCTGCGTCGCGCGAGGCCACGCGCGGGCACGAGGGGGTGCGAGCACGAAGACGCGGGGGGACGAGATTTCATGGGGGGTTCAACGCAGGCACGGCACGGCACGGCCCTCGTTTCGCATTCCGGAGCAGGAGGAGGAGGAGGAGGAGAAGGACGAGGAGGAGGAGGAGGAGGACGAGGAGGAGGGAGACGCGGGGAGACGAGATTTCACATCCCCAGCTGAAAGGTTCAGGTGAAAGCTAGGAGCACCCGGGGGCAAGTCGGTCCGGCGGCTTTTGGAGCACCGATACGCTGCAAACAGCAATTTTGAACACCGAAACGATGCAAACAGCAATTTGAGCACGGAGCCGGAGCCGGGCCCTGAAGCACATTGAGCACCGAAACGCTGCAAACAGCAATTTGAGCACCGAAACACTGCAAATAGCCATTTGAGCACGGAGCCGGAGACGGACCCTGAAGCACTTTGAGCACCGAAACTCTGCAAACAGCAATTTTGAACACCAATACGCTGCAAACAGCAATTTTGAGCACCGAAACGCTGCAAACAGCAATTTGAGCACGGAGCCAGAGCTGGGCCCTAAGCATTTTGAGCCCGAAACGCTGCAAACAACAATTTTGAACACCGGATTGTCCTCGATCTGCATCTGCTGCAAAACGAAATCGAAACGAAAACGGCAGGTGAAATCGCGGAAACACCGATTAGGCAGACCCCTGAGAATGATGATGATGATGATGATGATGATGATGATGATGATGATGATGATGATGATGATGATGATGATGATGATGATGATGATGATGATGACGATGATGATGATGATGATGATGATGATGATGATGATGATGGTGATGACGATGATCTTGGTGGTGGTGGTGGTGGTCGTGATGGTGATAGTGATGATGAGGAAAACGAAGAGGGAAAGGAGGAACAGCAGCAGGGGATAAGTACAGCCGCCTGGCTACAAAAAAGTCTGGGCCTCAGAAGTATTGGAAGAACTGTTGCTTGTTTCCCGTCAGGCTGCGGGACCCAGGAACAATGCTGGCTTGTGACCCACCTCCGACCATGAGAGTGGCGACTCCGCGTGAGGACTTCTCTCAAAAAGGTCCGCCCCTATTTCAGGGGGTCGGGAGCTTGCGAAGGCGCGCCCAAGCGGCGTCCACTCCCTTCCAAGCGGCGTCCTGGCCCCTCATCAAGTGCTGGTCCACACTTCTTCGATCCAGGGCAGGAGCTGCAGCAGCAGCAGCAGCAGGAGCGCCAGCCGGTGCGAAGCAGTATGTATAGAAAGAGCAGGAGCACGAGCAGGGGCAGGGCGAGGTGCAGGGGGCAGGGGCAGCATGGCCAGGAACAGGGGTCAAGCAGGAGGAGGAGCAACAGCAGCGGAAGCAGCAGGAGCAGGAGCAGGAGCAGGAGCAGGAGCAGCACGAGTCAGCGATGGCCAAAACGTGCCACGGAGGCACACGGAGACGCAAGAGCAGAGGGTCGGGCAGCAGCAGAGGCGGCAGCAGCTGGGCGACGAAGAGGAAGAGGAGGGAGAGGAGGGAGACCTGAAGAGGGGGCAGGAAGGGCTAATTTCGTGAAGGCCTCAACGACCTCTCCTGAGCCTCGACTCGCGCTGAGCACTGGAGCTTCCCAAAATTCGCCTGCTCTCGTTCGTGCTAAGAGCCCTATACGGGGAAACCAAAAGGTACCGATACCTCTACTCCCTGGACCTCTCCTAACGTGCGTTCAGACCAGCATTTCGAGGCGAATCCAGCGGTGACGACGATGGCCTCCCAGGAGGCCCAAAAAAGGGAAAACGGGCGGGGGGTAGAGGTGTGGGTACCTTTTCCTCCCCTGACTCGCCCTGATCTGCGACGCTCCTGGAGGTCCGCACGGACTTCCTGCATCGGCGCTTGGCCCCGCCAGCGCCGTCTCCAGCGCCCCTCGCCCGGCGCTCTCCGCGCGCCGGGAGGAGGAGGGCCGACGCCGATCTGGGAAACCTGCGCGGACCTCCGCCGCAGCTGATGGGCCTGTTTTCCACCACCACCACCACCACCACCACCACCATAAACTGGAGGGGGAGGGGGTCCTCCTCCTCCTCCTCCTCCTCCTCCTCCTCCTCCTCCTCCTCCGCCTCCTCCTTCCCACCTCCAACTTATGGTGGTGGTGGTGGAAACAGGCCCATCAGCAGCCCCATTCTCTTTCTCCCGCTCTCAGCGGACACTCCGCCTCGCGCTGGGATTCCACGAGTTCTCGGGGTTGATCCGGACATCTCCGAATTTACCCTGACCTGTCTGATTCTACATACATCGATTTACGTATCTCAACTTATCTGGAGGGGAAGGGCGCGATGACGATGACCAAACTGAACGCGAAAACGTCGGTGTCGATCGTGGTTACCGTCCATCTCCGTCACCGTCCATTCGTGGATCGTCCTCGCGAATCGGCGACAGCCGGCACAGACCATGACCAAGACCAGCGTCGACAAAATCCCGCGACATCTTGGTCATGGACTTCATGCTTCTTCTCTAGGTTATCTGACTTGACCCCCACGAGGCCATCGGAGAGGAGTCGTCAATCCTCGGGGGGCGATGCGGGAAGAACCTGGGCCAGCCGAAGCGAGGCCCCCGTAACCTCTCCTCGGCAAGAGAGCGAGTAAGAGGCAGTGCCGGGCTCTCCTCGATCTCCTCCTCGTCCTTCAAATACGTGAACCAGGGGATCGCCCACAGCACTGGGGCGGGCTCGACACTCCCCAGCCCCCTTCCCGCCCCCTGTCCTTCCTAAACCCCTCGACACAATCAGCCTCAAAAACGGTTGACGCGCCGCTTCAACGTTGCCCCCTTTCGCCCCGTCAATGTCGCCCCCTTTCGATGTCGAAGCAGAGCAAAGCGCGGTCCAGGCGGGTGGGACTCGGAGGTTCCACGACGACCGACGTTGGAGAGGAAGCGCCAGAAAGTACTTTGCACGCAATGTCACCGAAACCCAGAAATCACATCGACTAGTACACTGCCTAACATATGGCTGAGGTCAAAGATGTCGAAGGCAGTGGTCCTCAAGCTCTTCCTCTGGAGACCTCCACAAAAAGCTGGAGTGGATGTGCTCGGAGGGCCAAGTCTCCATTGCAGATGCGATGCGTCGACGATGCATCGGCGACGTCGGACTGGGAGAGATCCAACTCCAGACCGCGCCACATCGCCGGGCGTCGGCGATGCGGCGCGGTCCTCCGACCCCATCTGGTCGAAGCGGTGGGCAAACTGGCTGCGGTGGACCGGCTAAGTGACGAGGTCACTCGAGCACTGACCCAAACTGAGCCACGCCCGACCAAACAAAAAACAAAAAGTGCCATTGGCAAGGACGCATGTGAGCTCGATTGGGCAAACCTGACCAAGCAATCGGCGTACCGCAACTTAGCCACTTTGTACACAGGCTAGCTCGACACTGATTTGAAGAGGAAAAGGAAGTATCTGAATGACCCAGCTACAGAAACTGCCAAGCTTAGCCTGGACAGCCGTCATGCTCACGCGACACCGACCAGCAACAAACGCAATGGAAATTGCGTACATAAGCTACGCGGTGCGTGTGCCAGGTACGGTAAACGCACATACTCTGGTAAACTGGAAACTTGTCTACACCCATGCTCGAAGCCCGGAGGCTGAGCGTTCCCAATGCGAGCAGGGAAGCTGAAGACACCCCCTCCGGCCCGTCCTAGGAGAGCGCGCCCTGCACGCGAAGCTGTCCATCCTTGCTTATTTGATATCGTGTCCTTCAGCCTGACCAGGCCTCCAGCTTTCACCTCAAATGACGTCTCCGCATACCCCTCCCAGTAGGCAGAGCTGCACCGTCGCGGCTGATCAAGACGCTGTCTCGGGCGCGGCTGCTGATGGCAAGGCCTGCGAACATCACGATAGTGAACACGCCGATCATTGCGTACATGGAGTTTTGCTCTGAGTACTTCCTGGCTGGGAAGCCCGCGGGGAAACGGAGGGCATGTTCGGTTTCGTCTCTGACGGATGCGGCAGCCCTTGCTCCTAATCCCTTTCCCCGCCTCTGTGCCTGCCGTTCCGTCCACGCAGACGGTCGCATCGTTCAACTCCTCTGTCACTGGAATCAGCCACTCGTGCATTCCGTCCCTTCCATCGTCCACTGCTTTATCTGATCGGTTTGCGTAATGATGACCTTCGTCTCTTGGCCCACTCATTCAATTGCCCATCCTATTTTCATTAATTCATGAATGCGTACAAACACATATATATATACTAGAACCATGCGCGCTTCGAGCGCGCTTAGGATCTAGCGCAGCTTACCAGAATGGATGAGGATGGCCCGACGCTCCACCCCGAGAGCGAGCGCCGCGACGGCGAGGGACCGAAGCGGTCGCCATGTCCACGATAGGCTCCAACCTACACCTACACCGATCCTACCAACCATAAGCCTGCGCCACTACTGGCGAGGCCCGTCTCGGGCCCAGGCTCGGTGTGTACGCTCGCCTTGGCCAGGACGGCATGCACACCGATCCTGTGCCCAGGATCGGCCCAGCCAGGATCGGTGCAGGTGTCCAGCTTGCGCAGGATGCGGTGCACGACGCTGCCAGCTTGTGCTGTAGCCCCAGCAGGCGCATCCTGTCGCCAACCCGTACCAGTGCACGGCCCGCTCAATGGGCCGCCGTCTGCGCGGCCGACGATGAGATCTGCCCGTTCCGGATCGGCCCGCTCCCCGGGAAACGCCCGGCAGCATCATCTCTTTGTGTCCATGGTGCAGGTACTGCTCATCCTCCTTTCCGTCCCTCTCTCCCTTCTCTCGATCACTCCTCGACCTGCTGCCTCCCTCTCCATCCTCCCTCCCCTCCCTCCTCGGTCCGCTCTCCTCCATCGTTACTCCTCATCCTCCTGCTCCTCTTGCTCATCATATTCGTCCACAGTTCCTCCTCCTCCTCCTCCTCCTCCTCCTCCTCCTCCTCCTCCTCCTCCTCCTCCTCCTCGTACGAAGACATGCTTCGCCCTCCAGACCCCATCCTGTCCCCCTCCACGCGGCACGCTGCACTCCTCTCCCCGCGCTTCGACGGCGCCCGAGGCAGAGATTGGGCAAGCAGGCGGCGAGATGTCGTACTCCGCCGAAAACTCGAGGGATTCGGTGGTCACCCCGCGTCGGCGGATCTTGCTCCTGGGCCCGCGGCAGGGGGCAGCGGACGGGACGGGGCAGGGGCGAGGGCCGTCGAGGGGAGAGAGGGGAGGGAAGGGGAGGGAAGGGAAAGGGGGAGGGGGAGGGCGAGGGGGAGGAGGAGGAGGAGGAGGAGGAGGCGGAGGAGGAGGAGGAGCAGGAAGGGAGGGAGGAGGAGGAGGAGGAGGAAGGGAGGAGGAGGAGGAGGAGGAGGAGGAGGAGGAAGGGAGGAAGGGAGGAGGAGGAGGAGGAAAGGAAAGGAAAGGGAGGGAGGGGAGGGGAGGGGAGGGTTGGTTGGTTGGTTGGTGACCTTCCAGCGAGGTGGCATGTTGGGACTGCGGGTTCAGGCCCTTTAGTATAGAGCTGCGGGGCCCCACCGGCGACCGACAGCAACCCCGCAACGTCAGCCCAGGGATGGATGAGACCACTCTAGGGAAGCAGCCTTGGGAGAGAGGGGGAGGGTACGAGGCCTTGCGAGCCACCGTGCCCAAACCTCCCTCAGCTTCCCAGGCTCCCTCCGGCGAGGTGCCACCCCCAAAGCCGGAAGGCTAACGCTAGATTTGGGTATTCCTGGGGAGGGGGCATCAGCGGCCCTCCGGCAGGGATCCTCGCCCGGTCTCGGCTCCATCCTACGCCAACGCACGACGTAGGTACGAGGCTAGCCGGATGGAGGGAGAGAGGATCCGAGGGGGGGGGAGGAAGCACACGCTGCCGAACCATCCCAAACGCCACCCCACCCCAGCCACGACCGGCTCCAAGGGGTCCGCGCCGAGGTCCAGGTCGGAGCCCGAACCCCCTCTCCACATTCCAGACACTGCCGCAACAGCGTCCCCCGCACAGAGCAGGTGCGGGGAGGGGTGCCCAACGCCGACCCAAGAACTCCACACAGACCTCCAAGAGGGAATCGACCAGGAGGGAGAGAGGGAGGGAGGGCAGCAAGAAGCGCTTCATCTTCGCTCCAACAGGGGTCCACCCGGAAAGAGAAGAGGCCCGAAGCGCACTCCGGCGGGCCAGGAGGCACTCCCCGGGCCTCCCGAGCAGACACCCGCGCCCGGCGGCCACCGAGGCGGGCCCTCCTGGGTCTCCCAGGCAGTTTTCACAATACCAAACGGGGGCCCGTTTGGTACCTCAAAAACTGCCCGGGGACAGGAGGCAACCAGGGGCGTCCCTCCGAACCGGCGGCGGCGGAGCTCGGGGGCGAATCCCGACGGACCGCAGCCACTGCACGGCCGGGAAGGCCTCCGTTCACCGAAGCGCCGACGAAGACGACGACGACGACCACGACGACGACGACGACGACGACCACGACGACGACGACGACGACGACGACGACGACGACGACGACGACGACGACGACGACGACGAGAGCGGGAGCAGGAACGGCGCCAGCGCCAACGACGACGACCACGGCGGCGGCGGCGGCAAGGACAGCCAAAGCAACGGCGACAAGACAGCACAGCGGCAAAAGCGACGACGACGGCAGCGCAGACGGCGAAGGCGGCGGCACGGAACCACCCCAGCCCATCTCACCCCAGCGAGGACCAGGAGGGAGGGAGGGAGGAGGAGAGAGGGGGGGAGGAGGGGGGAGACCCACCCCAGCGCGTCCCAGACCGCCCCAGCCCGCTGCAGCCCGGCAGAGACTGAGGAGGGCGGAAGGGGAGAGGGACGGAGTGGAGTCTGCACAGATATGTTTGCAACTCGAGTGCAGAATTCATGAAAACTCCACGCACGAACCTGTACAAAACCCACTGCAAAATTCTATAAAGTGTCAATGAAAATCTGGCTACAACTCCAGAGCGAAGTAGCTCTATGCACGAAGGGGCGATAGGAAGGAGGTGAGGCGAAGAGGGAGGAGGAAGAATCGTACATCCGGTACGGAACTCATACAAAATCCTCAGTGTACTAAACACCAAGAGAAGACATCCCAAGAGCCTCGCGCATTGCCGCGCCTGGGCACCACGCCGGGCGCACGACACGACTAGGACTGCACTTGCGCGGGGGGGGGTTGCAACGGAAGGCAGGATGAAGCGGGGGAGAGGGGACTGGCGGTGCAGTTCTGTGCACATGCTCACTCGCTAAGGCGGCGTCCAGGCCGCGGGCGGCAGCGGCGGCAAGGGCTCATCCGTCGGGCCCGCCGGGAGCACGCCGTTGTTGTACGGGGCCGTCCAAGTGGGCATCTTGGACAGGATGTTCTCGCGCACCGCTGTGGCAGCAGCGATGTGGATTTTTCCCGATTTGCGCATCCAGATGTGGACCGCGCCATGCTTCTTCCCGAACTGGAACACGAGTCCAATTAGCGCTTTCTTGTTCTTGGTGCTTTGGGTGCCCTTGCCCTTCTCCTTGGGCAGGCAATGCCACTCGGCCCCGCGCCTGAGCAGGGGGTTGCCGGCTGGGACCGTCGAGGCCCAGTAAAGGATGGCCCTGTCGGACGGCAAGCTGCCGTCCGGCATCAGGCGCAAGAACCTGTCGCGCCTCTTCTCCTCCCCCTGGCTGGACTGCTCCCGCCCCGCCCCCGAGCTTCCATGCTCATGGAACCGCCTGTACTCCGGGAACAAAGGGTCCACCACGTCCGCTTCTACCGCCTGGAGCACTCCCTGCTGGGCGCCCTCGCCCGCACTGCCAAAGCCTGGGGGCGCGGTAGCTCCCGCCGGCACCTGCCCGGGGCCCCAGAGCTGGAGACCGCTGCCCAGAAGGGCCTGCTGGGCGTTTCCGGGCTGGACCGCCCAGGACGCCGCTGCCGACTGGCAGCCCATCCAGCCAGAGGGCTCTACGCTCCAGGCTGGCGCCTGCGGTGTCGGTGCTGCGCCGTAGCGAAGCGCTTCCCACGCCCCTGCATGGCAGCCACCCTGGGCGTTCCACTCCATAGTCGAAGGCGCCACGGCTGCGCCGCCTCCTACGCCCCATGAGCCCCGCTTGACGGCCTCTGGGGCGCCCCACTGAATAGGCTGTGGCACCGCAGCCGCGCCGTGGCTAGGCGAGGCCAAGAGGAGCCGCAGCTTTCTCCACGGGGCCTCGCCCACGCTATCGTCTGGCACCTCGGCCTTCGTCTCCTCGCTGCGTGCTGCGCTTGTCTTTGTCGCCTCCCACTGGTCCCAGCAGGCGCGGCAGTAGGCCTCTTGAGCGTGCGCTCCCTGGCCAAGAGCAAGCTCGCAGCCCGTGGCCCTGCAGCCGAAGCAGGTGCCGGCCACCGCTAGTCCATTGCCGCTCCCGGCCTCGGAGTCACCCTGAGACGGTGTGCCCTTGGTGCCCAGCGGACGCCTGGTCCACGTCCTGCCAGAGCTTGGGCTGCCCTGGGGCGGGGCCTCCAGTGGCTGCTGCAGCGGCCCACGCCCGCTTGTCTGCCGCCGACATCAGCGACCACTGGTGACGCACGGCGCGTTTGAAGATAGTCGTCGCACAAGGACCTCCTCCCGCCTGGTTCTTCTCCTCCGTGCGCGACGCCGCGCGGAGGCTGAGCCGGAGAGATGGACGCTCCTGCATCCAGAAATCCAAGACCTTCTGGGTGGCCTCGGGCTCGGGACCATCGGACCCCATGCTGTTGGTTGGCCTTGTAATGGCTGTGAGGAGGGATTCGGAGATGGAAAGGCGCTGCAGCTCGGGACAACGTGGCTGCGGATAGAGGGGTGGAGAAGCAGGGGCGGCAGAGAGGCCCAGGCGAGACATCTCCAAAGCGCCCTCTCGACCGCGCTCCCCAAAGGCAGGAGGCACCCCGGGCCGCATGGGGAGCCGATGCAGGAGTGGACGCCGGGCCGTGCAGAGGCAAAAGAGACGGAAAGGAGGAGGGAGAACGAGGAGCAGATGCCCAGGCCTCACCAACCCAGCCCAACCCGATCCCGCAGGACTGGGAGGGAGGGAGGGAGGAGGGATGAGGGGAAGAGCCCACCCCAGCTCAATCCATCTCTCCCGAACCCACCGCAGTCCTGCAGAAAGGTCAGTCCTCTAGCAAGGACTGGGAGGGAGGAGGAGAGGAAGAGAGGGGGGAAAGAGCGACCAACCCAGCCCAGCCCAACCCAGACCAACCCAGCCCAGCCCAACCCAGACCATCCCAGCCCAGCCCAGCCCAGCCCAGTGAGGGGAGGGGAGGGGAGGGGAGGGGAAGGGGAGGGGAGGGGAGGGGAGGGGAGGGGAGGGAGGGGAGGGGGGAGGGGGAGGAGGGGAGGAGGAGGAGGAGGAGGAGGAGGAGGAGGAGGAGGAGGAGGAGAGGAGGAGGAGGAGGAGGAGGAGGAGAAGAAGAAAGGCCAGTGTAAACCCGAGAGTCATCAGCGATGTTGGAGCAAACCATCCCCCGAAGCTCCCTTCTCATAGGCCCCTACAGCGGTTCATTTCCACTGAGGGAATTGCCTCGTTAGAAAACAACCGTTTGAAGACCCTGAACCATTCCAAGACACTATTCTCGGGACTCCAACGCCACGGATCAATATGACTGTTAGGTCCTGACGATCCTGAATCGTGCCAGAGCGCCATCGCTTGGACTTCGACACCGCCAATCATCGTAACTGTTGCACCCTCATAATCCTGAATATTTCCAGAACGCCGTTTCTGGTGAGTCATGAGAATCCATGAAACTCGTGCAAATTTGAAAAACGAATGCGCGCGGCGCTAAAGCGAGAAACACATGTTGAAAAGGAACCACCCTCAATCTGAAAAACTCTTGCAATGTTTTAAGACGAAATGCGCGCGGCGCTGAGACGAGAGCCATATGTTGAAAACCACCCGCCATCAATATTGAAACTCCTGCACATTCTTGAAACGAATGTGTGCAGCGCTAAGGCGAGAGCCGCATTTTGAAAACCACCCACCCTCCATCCGCGAAAGTCCTGCAAATTGCTAGAACGAATGTGCGCAGCGCTAAAGCGAGAGCCACATTTTGAAAAACACCCACCCTCCATCTATGAAACTGTACCATTGTTTTCGCTTCAGGGTCATAAATGGTGAGGACATCTCAAGCGAAACGCCCAGCCAGCACTAAAAACTGGCCTCGGGGTGCGACAGGGAGAAGTTTTTGTATAAGGAAAAGGAATGGAGGAGGAGGAGGAGGAGGAGGAGGAAGAGAAGGAGGAGGAAGAGGAAGAGGAGGAGGAGGAGGAGGAGGAGGAGGAGGAGGAGGAGAAGGGGGAAGAGGAGGAGGAGGAGGAGAAGGCAGGGGGGAGGAGCAGGGAGGGGGGGGGAGGCAAAGGCGGGGGAAAGAGGGGAGGAGAGGGGAGGACCCCGCCGGCGAGGAGCCTCCCGGAGAGGCCCAGGGCAGGGGCAGACGCACAGAGCACCTCGGCGTTCGAGCCTCGAGCCTCCGCCCTCGAGGCTCCACAGAACCCCGCGCCACTGTGCCAATACTCGGCGGTGGACAAACCGCCCTTTAGTAAACCACCCACGGCCTGGGACCAAAATCGACGGGCCTGGACCCGCAAAAATGACGGCCGCGACGCCCTCTCGCGAACCAAAAACGGCCAATTCACGCATCGACGTGTCGGGGTAAGAGGTCTATCAATCTCCGAAATACGGTCCTCGCGCTGCCACAGCGAACGCTGAACCAGGGGCGAAGAGGGGGCTTCTCTGGCCGCGGCGCGCCCCAGCCGCTTTGACAGGCTCCCCGGCCCGCATCTGCGGAACGGCCATGGAAGACCAGAGCCCCTGCACTGAGCCCGGAGTGCTTAAGCCTTCGACGCCTTGGCTGTGCCTCCTGAGCCTCTGTCGCGCCTACGGCGGCGCGGAGTGGGATCGGGATCGGAGCGTCTGGGAGCGCGGATTCCGGCCCGGCCCATGCAGGCCACGAGGGTCGGCCAAGAGGGGGGTGTCCACGAGGGGGGGGTGCAAATCATGACCAGCGGCATGCGCGCGGCCCAGCGGGGGGGCCATAGACGTAATGAAATAAGAAGAGGCGCCATGAAATCTGGGGAAACATCATGGCCCCCGCCATGATATCCACCCCCCCCCTAGTCATCACCCCCCTCCTTGCCGCCCCCGAGAGGGGAAGCCGGCTCGCGCCCGACCGGTTCAACGGCTGGGGTCGAAGCGGACCGCGAGCAGCCCTCCTGCCTGCCCGCCCCGTCCCGCGGCGGCCCGCGGCGCCCGGCGGCTCCACGAGCCCGTGGGGCGGCGCAGCCCGCGGCGCCGCCGCGGCGCCTGCGCCCACCGGGGGCCGATCCTCCTCGCTGCTGCTGCTGCTGCTGCTGCTGCGGGCAATTTCTCGCCCGATGCCCTCCTGCGATCCTGGCGTCCTGGCGTCGCACTCCTGTCCCGCACAGGGCGTTCTGGCTCGGCTCGGCGACCTGGGGCCCTCGCGGCTGGATCCGGCACGAAAAATGCCGCAGGAAGGCTGGGTCTGGGGCTCTGGACGTGATTTCTCACGATGCTGCCCGTTGTTCACGTCGTCGGATCTCCACGTCGTCCCGCGCAGAATCCCACCAGCACTCTGGGCGTGACTGTCCTCTTCCCTCTTCCCCCCTCCCCCTCGAGAAAAGGCTCATCATTATCCTTTATTGATGAACACCCCTGGACCACTCGACTGGCTACAAACCCATGACAGTGCCAACACCTCCCACCATCCTCTCCGGAATGCGATACGAAGCGCATAGTGTACAAAGTTTGGGTCGTGCGCGGACGCCCCGCGATCATGTTGCATATGTTTCGACACGGACTCCGGAGAGGCCAGGATATTGCCTGCTGCGCGCAAGCATACCATCCCTGTCAGAAACACATGCAAAGTGATTGCGCACACACCCACACACACACACATACACACGCATACATACATACATTCACACATTCACACATACATACATACATACATACATACATACATACATACATACATACATACATACATGCATGCATACATGCATGCATGCATGCATGCATACATGCATACATACACACATACACGCGTACATACATGCATGCATGCATGCATGCATGCATGCATGCATCCGTACATGCATACGTATATACATACATACATACATACATACATACATACATACATACAGACAGACAGACAGACAGACAGACAGACAGACAGACATGCATACATACCCACATACACACGTACCTACGTACGTACGTACATACATACATGCATGCACGCATACCTGCATGCATGCATGCACATATACATACATACATACATACATGTATATATGCATATATATATACAAACGTACATACATACATACATACATACATACATACATACATACATACATACATACATACATACATACATGCATGCATGCATGCATGCATGCATGCATGCATACACCTACAAACATACATATATACGTGCATGCATGTCTGCATACAAACATACATACATACGTACATACAGACATGCATACATACATGCGTGCATGCATGCGTGCAGACGTGCATGCATACATTCATTCATTCATTCATTCACTTATACATACATACATATATACATACATACATACATACATACATACATACATACATACATACATACATACATACATACATACATACATACATACGGGCATCCATATATACATCTAGATTGCGTCGGCGGCTAGGCAGAGCGACTGCGCGGGCGGAAGAGCAAATGCTGGGCGAACACTTGCGAATTAAGTCGCGACGCACGGGGGGGAGAGGAGTCACACACACAAGAAATAATGCTGGCAAAGCCGCAGCCACGGTGCATAGGTTTTGATGAGCATGGTGGTGGATCGACACGCGGCCCACTGTGACGCACCTGGTGCGCACGGCACGCCCGACGTGTGCGGCGCACCTCCCAGGCGTCGCGAACCTGGCTGGCGCCTGCACTGATTCCCGACGGTTATCGACGGCGGCTCTTACCTGTCCTGAGGCTCGGGTGCTGCCTGCGCATTTTCTCAGGACGGAGGGCTCAGGGTGAAGTCCGTGTGGGCTTCTGCCCCTCGAAAGTCAGTCCGCCTTGGGACTCACCTCTTGCAGATTCGAGCCTCGAAAGTCCATCGAAACGGCATTTCAGATTTCACCCTTTGCCCTCCACCCGAAGAGAATGCTCGTGCTACGTACGTGATGGCAGAGCGGGATATGTCGCGGCGTTCCCGCTGAGCACTTGGCCCTTCCCCCTTTGCTTAACCCCTGCCATGGGCCTGGAGAAGGGGGGCCGCGACCGACTGGAGCGGCCAAGATGGTCGAAGATGGCTCCAAGGGTGCCATTGGCGAGGAGAAGCTGACCTCCAAGATGGCTCAAAATAGTTCGACATGGCTTCCAGCGTGCCCCAACAAAGACCAAAATCCGCCAAAAACCATGGGAAGGGAACAGAGGTGTTTGTCTTCTCGCCGTTTCGCTTTCGACAGCCCTCCGGGGCCTCCAGGTGGCTCCAAGGAGGCCCAAGCGCTAAGAGGAGCCCAAGAGCGTCCCAAGACGGCCCCAAGAGCGCCCAAGAGCGCTCCAAGAGCGCCCCAACAGTGGTCCAAGAAATTATATTTAGAGGAGAGGGGGGGGACTAATGAAGTAGCACCCCCCCACACCTGTTTTTATCGAACTCCTCCCAATTGGCCCAAAAGGTCAAGTTGGCTAAAGATGGCCTCCACCATTCCTCCAAAGGCCCAACGAAAGCGCCAACAAGGCCCCAGGTGGCCTCCGGGCCTACCACGACCGCTCCCCAAAGCCCAGCCCCGCTCAAAAACCCAAGAAGTTACGTTGGAGTTTGCCTTTTCGCTTTGTCGACTCCGCTGGTTTCGGCGGCCCCCAGATGGTTCCGAAACTGACGAACAAGGCCCCAAGAGAGGCACAAGATGGCATCAAGACTCCTCCAAGAGAATACAGATTTCCTCTTGAGCGTCCTCTCCGCGCTGTCGGTGAACAACGACGGCGGCGGCTTCGACGACGACAACAGGAGTCAACGAAACGGGCTCTGACCCCAGGGGGGGAACAGGGGGAAGAGAAGGAGGAGGCAGGGATAAACGTAACAAAATGATTACGACCCATTTTTGTTCCTCTTCCTCGCTTCTCCACATTCCTACTCCTCCTCCTCCTCCTCCTCCTCCTCCTCCCCCTCCTCATCATCATAATCACCATAATCATCAGAATCATCATCATCACCATCATTATCATCGTCATCAACATCAGCATCATCATCACCATCATCACCATCATCATCACCATCATCATCATCACCATCATAATCATCCTCTACCACTTTCCTCTTGTGCATCCTCCTGCCCGCTGTCGCCGAACAGCGATGGCGACAGGAGTCAACGAGACGGGCTCTGTCCAGAGGAAGGAAGGGACAGGGAGGGAAACGGGGAGACAAGGACAATCGCACGAAGACCAAATGCCCTGCTGACAAGCAAAACGACACATATCAGTTCCCCATGACTGTAGTACACGGCGTTCTCGGGGGTGTGCACACAAGCGTGCGCGCCCGCAGGCGAAGGCAATCGTCACGATTGGCAGCGACGGTAATGGTGATGACGACGACCGGTTGACAGTGTGGTTCGATTGTAGCTTCCATGTCAGTATGTATATACATACATATATAGATGTACGCATACATACATACATGCATGCATACATACATGCATACACATATATATATATATACATGCATGACTATATACATGCATTGGTCATCCTCTCTGCCAGTGAGTTTGCACCCCCTAAGTGTGCCCGTGTATCGACATATACTATCATGTCACCATTCCTCTCGAACCCTTTCCCTTCAACCCTTCTGTCTTCACTGCTCCTTCTCTAGCCCGAAAACGAATGAGCATGCGTTTATGAGACAATCAACAACCCCTGTACTATACGTCAGTCATGTTGGTCTGCTCCCTCTCTCTCTCTCCCTCTTCCTCTCTCTGTCGATATGTTCCCTCTAAATATCTGCATATACGCGTAAATGAACGTGTGTGTAAGCTCCTCTACACTGCGCATGCACGCATGCATTTCCAAGTATGGCTCGATCCGGGCCGCACTCGCTATATGTCGTTGTCGTTCTCTCGCTATGTCCCCCTCTCTCTCTCTCGTTCCCTCTCTCTTCCTCTCTCTCACTCTTTCTATCGCATTATCCTCATGCCTCATCTATGCCTCCCTCGTGTTGTTCTTGTTTCTCTCTCTCTCTCGTTCTCTCTCTTTCTCTCTCTCTCTCTCTCTCTTTTTCCCTCTCTCTCTCTCTCTCTCTGTCGCTCTCTGTCTCTATTTCCCCCCACCACACCACACCCTCCTCTGATATTACCACCCACTCGATATATCAATACGCACTGCATATCTACACATATCTATAGAGATCTCTCCCTCCCTCTCGCTCTCTCTCTCTCTCTCTTTCTTTCAGTGTCACCCTCCCTTTCACTCGCTCTCTCTCTCCCTCTCTCTCTCTCGCGGTCTCTCTCTCTCCCTGGATATTATTATTTCTCTCTCTCTCTCTCTCTCTGTCTCTCTCTCTCTCTCTCTCGCTCTCTATTGTTATGTCTCTCTCTCCATGTTTCTCTCCCACCTTGTCTCTCTGTCTCTCTGCCGCCCTCCCCCCATCCCGTCTGGGAACACACGTTCCACCCCAAAGAGGCAAACGAGAACATATATGTGTCCCTATGTATTTGTCTGTGTGCTCGTTGGTTCTCTCTTTCTCTATCCCTCTCTCTCTGCCTTTTTCTCTCTCTCTCTCTCTCTATCTCTCTCTCTCTCTCTCTCTCTCTCTCTCTCTTCATAAATACATATAAATGTCTCTACTTGTATACATATACATGTTTGGTTCTCGTTATATACAATTATATATACATGTGTCTCGTGTTATCTCTCTCTCTCTTTATCTTTTCGCTTCCATGCCCCGATCTCATTAAATCAGTCACCTCGTCTCCCCCACTGTCCTTCGGCACCGGTCACGCGCATGTGCACATATATGGATGTTGACAGGAATACGATACAACAAAAAAGAGAAAGAGATGGAGACCGAACGCAACCAGCTTGAAAGGGCAAGAAGGAACTGCGAGAGAAAGAGAGAGTGAGCCATAGAGAAAGAGAGAGAGAGAAAGAGAAACCTGGCCTCTTGAGGACGGAAACGATACCCTTTGACACGGAAAGGCAAGTGTGAAATGTAATTGCGCAGAGGACAAGGGGGGCGGCGCTTGTGACTATGATGTAGACGGCGACAGCAGGGAATGGGAACAGGGGAAGGAGAAGC